GGGAACATGTCATAGACAACAATGGCCATTACATTGTAGACTGAAATTGCATTTCAATGAAGTTATAAAATTTTTTAAAATTTGCGCAGAGTGTTGCAAGACTTTCTTTCCAACCCAATAACTCCAAAAAGTCATGGTAAGACCTCTGTTACCTACACAAGGGCAACATTTCTTCACAAAACCTCTCCATCATCTAAGATGACACGACAAATTGATCGAGGAATGGCTAGATTTCAACAAAAAAATGTCCTTGTGCGGACTGTAGAGGTCTTAGCTTGACATCTGGCGGGAGTTGCTCTCGACGTGGCATTTGTCGTATCCTGTTGACACAACACGATTAACGAAGAAAGACTTGACCGTCGCAGAATTTGTTCCTACTGATAAGACTCTCATCAGACCCAGTGAAAGGTGGCTAGAGTAATTCCCGTGATATCGCGGGATTCATGCTTCGAGGGCTTCCCACAGAGCAACTTTCCAACCCCTTATCTTAGCAGCCAAGGGTCGTAGGCACACAATGGATTGACGGAGGCTCCTTTCTCAGTAATGGAAATACATTCTGCCGTAATATACAGTGCCGCAGAATTGACTGGGAATTGGTCCTTTGGCCTGGCCTATTGGTGCACAAAGGTATGGTCCTTTAGCCCAGGCGCATTGGGCTTCAGTGGCAGAGGTCTAGGTCAAATCGGCCCAGATACGAAACAGTCTACGTGCAGCTAATTCTCGGACACTCGATAAATACCATATACCAAGTTTCATCCTGACTCGTGAGATCTCCTCTTACACCCGCTGAAGCGCTTTGCTCAATTTACCCTTTCCGTCCCGAGTTTAATTGATATAAAAACAATTTCTTCTTCAGCCGTCCATAAAGAACCCATTCGGCACAACAACGTTGTGTCAACGTTGAAAAAAAGGTTGATAGCAATGTTGCCTCAATGTTGAGAAAAGGTTGACTTCTCAACGTAAGATGTTGCCACAATGTTGAAATGAAACACAGCTCAACGTAGAAAAGTTGATGCTGTGCGACGTTGTGTCAACGTTGAATTGTCAAAGTACGGGCATTATAGTACCTCCTCCCTATTCCAGAGTCTGAATGAGCTTTGATTATCGGATGAAATTGAATATGGACTCGATAACTCCACGGATGGTCCCCAAGTGGTATGATACTAGCAGTACTCTACCGAGCATAAAAATTCCACATAACGGACCCTCAGAGTTTTATTTCCTCTACTGAATCAGAATTAAAATCGAGTACTTACACGACTCAATCCTCTCGATCCAGCAGAGGAAACAACCTCGCGGGCATGGTTGTTATACTCTATCCATCATGGATGAGCCTGAGTAAGGGCGCGTGTCATATGTGGAGATTTAGGAAAATTGAGCGTGTCTCCTCGGACCCACTAGCCAGAAGTACTTTGGGTCTCCTTCTGCCCGATTACCTCCTTAAACATGTCTATCTAGATATTCCTATACCTTCCCCTATGCTGTAAATGGGAAAAGATCGGGTACTGGATGAAAAATGCAGGGTACTGTTTATTTCAAGGCATCAGGGTAAGAATCGCAGAATCGGCGGTTACGTGCCATCTCGCGTCGGTTCCTAGAACCTATTTCCTTTTGATATGATGTGGATGACTCTACGTAAAAACAACATTGAGAATGCGATTTAAAGAAAATTTGCTCCTAATAGCCTCTGAACGACTTCCCTAATTCACGAGTAGTCGCCAAATGCTGAAAATACTGTTAATTATGAATAGCTAGCATTTCATCGATGTTGATTTTTCGTTGAATTCTCAACTTCAACCAAGTCTCAACGTTGCAACCTATTCTCAATGTTGATACAACGTTGTTGTGCCGAATGGGAGACGTAATTCATTACAAACATACCAAATGCAAAAAAGGTCTCAGGAACCCAGAAGTCTTGCTTGACCTCAAGGTCGTGTGCTCTTATGAAGTCCCGCAAAATATGCTGAAAAAGTGGGATTCCTGAGTCCCGCCATACAAAAATGTTAAAATTCCGACTTTTCTATTCTTCAAATTCAATCAAGCCAATCTCAAAAAAGAAATATCGGTTTCGCGTGAATCCCATGCATAGTTGCCTTCACGCAATTCCATGGCACACAAATGTATGCTTTCCTCTCAAGCGGAAACAGATCTCAGTATAAGATCCCAATACCATCCATTTACAAAATGCCAACTTGATACGTTCATGTTAAAATGCTTTTTTGATAGCGACTTGTTTTTTCCTTCAGGAGACAAGATAAAGAAAATGAC